ATGGATCTCATCACGAAGCCTCTTTGGTTGACTCGTCTCGATCGCGTCTCGAATATAGGTCATCAACGATAAAAAAAAAAAAAAAAAAGAACACGACTATTCGATCCGGATATGAATGAAGTACCCAGACTGAAATGGCATTGCCAAAATCGAAAGAAACGATATAAGACAACCGGTAAAACGAAAGTACTTGTCTTAATTAATATATAAGGTTGCAATTTCTCAAATGAAGACTCCAAACAAATCAAATACTAGAGTTTTCAGAGGGTCGCCAGAAGTCAAAGAAATACAAGAGTCACTCTTGAAATTCCGAAGGGAGAAGAACGGGAGCTTCGAAGAATTAACGATGGACACAACACAAAAACAAAAACGGCGCTGCATCAGGCTCGACTACCCTCCTTAAAAGATTTTCACGTACACCACTTTGGTTCAAAGCTAGAATAGATCACGAAAGACAATTGATCGCCGTCTATATCAAAGCTAAGGTACTCTCAAGCTAACCTATGCCTCGACTTGGCAAACATTATGACAGATAGGGCCTCAAAACATCGGGAAAAGAAAATTTGAAAGAACTGCTCAAGACACACAAAGCAAATAAAAACATGCATAATGGATATCGAAGACATTCCGGACGTGGTACCTGCGTTGTTGGTTGTCTCGTCGTGGGTGATGGTGTAGACGCGGGCATGGCCTCCTGTCCCTTGCTGGTAAGGTGGGGGCTGTCTGGGCTGTTGCTGCTGCTAATGCTGATCCGGCCTTCGCGGTTCTGGGCAGTGACGGGAGTAATGACCCTTCCTCTGGCAGTTGAAGCAAGTTATGTCGACAGCTCGACACATGTTGACCTCGTGGACTCGTCCACATGCTCCACATGGTAGGGTCCCAGCAGGAATTTGGTGAAGAGGCTGGACAAACTGTGCAGCAGGCTGCTGCTGAGGCTGGTGCGGGCCATGATTAGGGCTCTTGCCCTTCTTGCAATTCGAATGATCATTCTTCCTCTTGCCAGAGCTAGAGGACGGGGGAGCTGAAGCATACGGAACCGGGTACGGATAAGGCGCCTGAGCTATGAGCGGCGGCTGATTAGACAACAGCGGGGTGAGAGGAGGTACAACAACTAATCACGCACAACCAGTTCTCGCTTGATTCGCACGAATCGACGAGTTATACATCAAAATTACGATAATATAATGAACGATAACATCACATAAAATCATATAGCATCACAACACATATATTGATTACACGAACACACTAGGCACAACCGAACATTATATTATTCACGAAATATTTAAACAGGGAATCGAGACTCGATACCGAGCGAGTAGGGTTCGAACGGCTCGACGGCGAACGGTGGCGAAAGAGCTCGACGGAGGCTCGCGTCTCGTCGGAAGGAGGAGGTGCTGCAGCGGCTGAGAAGGGAAGGGTCGCTGCTGCTGCTAGGTCGTCGGACGTTGCTGCAAGGTCGCCGGAGGAGAAGCTGCTCGTCGGGGCTGAACAGAGTTGGTCGTCGGAAGTTGCAGAGTTTCACCGGGAAGGGATTGACAGGGTGGAGGAGCAGTTCGTTGGTAGAGGACGGCTCACGAGCAGGGAGGAGGACCTCTGGTCGCGGCGTGGCGGAAGCTCGCGGCATGAGGAGATTTCTGGCCGCGGCGCGACGTGGCTCACGGCGTGGAGGGAAAGGTCGCCGGAAAGCTGCTGCGTGACGGCAACGTCGGAGTTGCAGGGGGAGGGTCTTCGCACGACGAGGACGTAGATGGCGATCGACTTCGGGAATAAAAAGAAAAACAAAAAGCGAGAGATAGGAAAAGAGAGATTGAGAGCGTGAGGGAAAGATTCAAGTTTTGGAAGTCAACGAGAGGAAATATCAGATGTGAAAAGGCTGGGAATGAGTTGAAGAGAAAGGGGCCATCGTTTAAATGTGTGATTTTAGGGTTGGAAAATCTTTTCTCACAAGAAATTACATCACACACGCTCAACAACATGAGAGGGCCGAATTTTTGGGCCATTGGGCCGGTTTTTGGCTTGCGGCCCGGTCGATTGGACTGGTTTGACAAAAATAAATCGGCTCACGGACTCGATTTCGGTTCAAAAGAATATTCTCGGGCCCAACCTTCGGTACTAACGCACGATAAAAATAAATCGAACAATAAATATATTTTACATATATATATTAATACACATTATTCACATTTAATAATTTAATAAATCACGAAAATCAATTAGACAATTAGACATTTAGCATTTAATCACATTTTGGCAAATAATAATATTATGGCATTCAAGAAGAATAAATATAAATACTATCACAAAAAATAATAATAACAATAATAATAACAATAAAAATAATAATAATATTCTCAAATAATCCACAAATAAATGGGGCATTACACACGTGCACACAAACTATTTACACACACAAACTGGCCCGACGTTCTCGCCGCCCAGCCTTATAAGTGCGCCGCCGGTGGATCTTCTAAGCGCCGCCGCCCGTCCTTCTAAGCGTCGCTGCCGGTCATCAAGTCGACGCCGAGAGGCATTCAAATCGACGCCGCCCGACCGTCAAAGCACTGCAACCCGACCGTCAAAGCACCGCCGCCTCTAGCATTTTCCAACGACATCATCCACGAATCTGACAGAGCCCGGAACCACCGTCACCTACCAGCCGGCCGCCCGTCAACAAACCCGCCACCACCGCTTTCAACAGCCCCGCCACCACCGCTTTCAACAGCCCCGCCACCATAGTCGCAGTTTGTCCTCGCCATCAGATCCTTCCGGCACGTCGCTATAGCCACCACCAATTCCCCAACAGCACGGCCACCACCTTACCAAATCGACCCGCCACCACTGACACAACCACTCCGTCCTGCAACTCGAAGAAAGCCGTCGATCCGGTGCAACGACTTCACCATCTGAACCTCCGTTTTCAAAGCCGACGGAAGAAATGAGGACGGCGGCAGATCTATTCAGAAAGAGATTAATGCTTTTCCAGATCTGTGCGCGTGAGTGTTAATTTGTGGGTCTATGTTTTGGAAATTAGAGAAATATGAGGGATCTATTTGCAATTTTGTAAGTTTGATATGTTGTACATGTAATTGGGATTTTGAGTTTTGTAATGTAAAAAATTATAATTGAACCAAAAGTTAAAAATTCGAGTTTCGACTTAACCAGTTTCATTTTTCGGTTAACATAAATAATCGAAATAACCGACATAATATTATTTTATTATAAAAAACATGATTAATATTTAATATTATATGTTATTAGAAATTTTTATATTATTTTTTAATTATCAAATATATATATATGTAAACAAAATATATGGTGCAATCTAACAATTATTAAGGTGCAATTCGTATATCATTATGGTGCACGGTTTCGGTCTATATTGTGCATATAGAACCAGCTGATATTTTGTCCCAAATCGAATTGAAAATGAACATAATATATGGTTTATTCGGTTTGGTTAACAAAATTATCCTATTATATTAAAATCATATTCATGTTAAGATTTTTATTTATTATTTTTATACTATTTTTTATTGAAAAAATTTGAGTTCGGTTTGTTTAGATCTCTACTGTGCAATCTACTGTAATATGGTTGTGATAAAGTGCATATTGTTGTTTTATAAAGTCAACGTGTTGTTTATAAAGTGCAATGTAATATGATAGTTGTGATAAAGTGCATATAGTTGTTTTATAAAGTGCAACATGTTGTTTTATAAAGTGTAACGTGTTGTTTTATAAAGTGCAATATTTTGATATATAAAGAGAACTAATATAGTTTTGGTACGTTAGTATGCTTGTGTTTTGTTTGGATAAATGATATGAGTGATAATAAAGTATCATGTATATCTGTTTTCCAGATTTATGTTGTGTAGTATTTTTAGCGGGAGCTGTTGACGTTTATTTTGTAGTGTGGTGATAAAGTAAAACTTGTTGTTTTATAAAGTGTAACTTGTTGTTTTTTATAGTGCAACTTATTATATATAAAGTGCACTACTTTATATGATGATCCGATAAATTATGTGTTTTTGAAAACTAAATTTAATAAATATAATTTTACATCGAATTAAGCTAAATAAATTGAAATAATATAAAAACATATTCATTATTTTAATATTTTTATGTATTAAAATTTTACATATTAAAATTTTAAACATTATACACGATATTTTTCATTAATATGCATTTGTGAAAATATTGATACAAATTACATATTTGGTCATGAACTAAATTAAAAAATACTCAAAAATAATAAAATTACAAAATTATCCCTCAACACTATCTATTTTTTTTTTATAAGTCGATGTAACACTAAATCCCTAAATTTATTATTGTAATAATTTATTATTTATATATAAAAATATATTTAAAATATTATTTATATTAAACCATAAAGTCAACATCGCACCAAGATAATCAAAATATTAAAAGTAAACACAAATAATCGAACCAAAATATAAAATTCAAACCCACAATTTTGTGTGTCCATTTCGACTGCTATAGTGCAACCTGATAGTCACTAATATGCAATTCGTCTAACATTAATTAGCACTCGAAGCGCAATTATTTGTATGAAACCATATTTAGTATTTTAATATTTTTATTTAATATTTTCTATTATTTTTGTTTGAAAAAATATGAGATATACATATGTATAAAAGTATAAAAAATATATATAAAAAAAATAATACTTTTTATATATTTTTTATAAATTACAAATTTTGCCTATGGGCTAAATTGAACTATATCAAAACTCTTGAAATTTTAGTTAAATTATAGATTTGACCCTAGGAACTAAATTGCAATTTAGATAAAATTAATATCAAAGCCTAAATTACATTCGCAAAATCAGCCGATGTGCTCAATCTCCTTCCCAAAACCTTCGCCAGCCACCGAGCGTCCGCCGACCTTCCCAGCCACGCGAAGACCTCACCGATCAGCCACATCCTCACGAGTTTAATTTAGATTTTGTGTTCATCAATTTTATGTTTCATTTTGCATTAATCGAATTTGGCCGGTAACTTGTTGTGCTTGCCGGAATTAGCCGACCTCATCGCGTCGAAGAATTTCTTCGTGGGATGCCAAATTTCAGCCTCCAAACTATCGATGTCGGATTTGCTCGGCGGTGATTTGAACTGCAGTCGAAATTTCTGATTTTGACGCGGTTCTGACCGGAGGTAGAGGGCGGAGGGCGGCATTGATTGGAGCAGTAATCGGAGTGATGGATGCGGCGAACGGAGTTGCAACGGTGGTGGTCCGACGGCGGTGCAGCGGCGGCTCCGATGGCGGATGGCGAGAACTGGCGGTGCGTGTGTTCTATTGTGTGCGTCGTGAAGTGTGTGCGTGTGTGAAATGTGTTTGTGTGAACTGTGTTTATGTGTGTCAACGTTGAGGAAGGCGCTGGTAGGTGGCGGCGCCGGCAGTGGCTGGTGGCGGGGGACCGGCGGGGGTGTGTGTGTGCGACCGTGTACTGTGTGGGGTGCGTGTTACTGTGTGTGTGAGTAGTGTTTGTGCGTGGAACACTATGTGAATAGATATGGGGCCCACTTGATACATGTCAATGATAAATTGTCTATTATACCCTTAATGAGTGTAAAAAATTGAATTTATTACAACCATTGGATGATCAGATTTTGTGGTCCGGATTCATTCTTATTTCCTTTGTTGATAATCATTCTCACTGGAGCGTGACCATATATATATATATATAATTGTTGGCAAGTTTCAATAAATTTATTCAGCCAAAAATTTATAATAATATGAGTTCATTTAATAAAAATAGGTATTCATTTAATAAAAATATGTACCTTTCACTTACACAATTATTTTGACAAATCCCATTTTGAATTGTGGCCCATTTCTATAACGCCTTTCAATATCCTGAAATACATAATATTTTTCTTTTTATGTTGATACTATATATATTTTAGTATTATATAAATACATATTTCACAACTAGTTAAGAATGACTACAAATATTTCTATTTTCTATTGCAGTCATACAATAAAAAAAAATATTTTTTTCGAATATTATTAAGATACATCAAATATTTTAAAAAATCAAATACCAGAGTCACGAGTCGAAGTGGTTTAACGATAACGTTTTATTGTGATGGGATTATGACGATAGAAAAATCATGAATATTGTATATAAAGAAGTGTTTAATAATATTTAGATTCACTTTTTAAAATTATTTTTTCTTATTTATTATGTTATGGTTTTTATTTTATTCTATATTTTTATTATTTTCTCTTATATTATCTTGTTTTTCGTATAAATATATGGTGTAAAACTAGTGTTATATAGTTAAGGAAGAAAAAAAACCCAATTATCCCCCACTCAGCCACAATTGTAATTAATTACACGCGTGACTTACATTACAATTGGGGAGTCTTTTGTACAACTACCACGCACAGAAGAGCTGCCGCACAGAAACACCCTTTTGTATATTTAATTATTTATAACCTCTCTTTCTCTCTCTGTCGTTCTCTCTATAGAAAAAAGCCCTTCCCCATTTTCTCTCTCTAAAGCTATACATGTACGCATAGAATAGAAGCTCCCAAATGGCGGTGAGCTTTGCTTATGGTGGGCCCACAGCCCTGTTGAGAAGCGATATTGGGTTGGAAAAGCGGCAGCTCTTCTTGAAAAGCTACCAATTTTCAAGAAAACAGAGTGTGTCCCAGAGGATAATCAAAGCTCTGTTGAGGGCCAAAAGGGTAATTTGGGTCAGGCTCTGGTCCGCCAGAAAGTTGAGAAAAGTGGTGTGGCTGAGCCTTAAAAATCGGATCTTTTTCACGGCCAGCGGTCGGAGGAGGAAGATTAGGAGGAGGTGTTTTCTCAGCCTCCGTAACGGTAAATATCATTATCATCGTGTGCCCAACAGTTCATGGGACTCTTATTTTGTTCACTAGTAGTGT